GATGATCGGATAGCACTACGGCTTCCAGAAGTAGCGTTTCTCCGTGGATCTGGAAGATTTTCATAAATAAATAAAAAAAAAAAAAAAAAAAAAAAAAAAACGGGACTCCTCACGAGCAGGGTTTCGGCTCAGGAATAACGCTCTTCGGGATCCTCGGGACTTTTGTTCTTACTTCGGGGCTCGGGAATGATACCGGGGCTTCGGGATATGATTGTCATGCAAATCAAGGCAAAAACTAGAGAGAAGAAAGAGTTTGAACAAGAGAAAATGGCTGATATCGGTTTCTATTTATAAGCTGGGGGTCTGGGATTACGCTGGGAGTAATCTCAATTTACGTTGGGCGTACTCAGTACGCTGGGCATAACTTGGTTACGTTGGGCGTAACTTGGTTATGTTGGGCCTACTTTGATGTCACTGCAGGCGTCAATTGGTGGCACTCGAGTATTGGTCAGGCAACTTGCACCCTTCTGAGTACGCTGGGCGTACTCAAATTACGCTCGGCGTAATATGACTCGTCAAACTTCTAAATTGCGTAACTTTCGCATACGAGCTCTGTTTTCAATGTTCTTTATATCCATGCGTAGGTGAGACTACGCTCTACAACTTTTGTTTAGACTCCGTCGGCTAATTTTTATTTCTTTTTTTTATTATTTAATTTTAGTAAGCAGAGATAGGAAAACTCCGTTATAAATTCATAACTTCTTCATCCGACGTCCGTTTACACCTATCTTTTTATCGTTTTACTACTATTAACGAGACCTTCGATTCTCATTTAGATTGTTTCAGCTAAAAACCGCTCGATCTCAAATCAAGTATTCGGGCTGCATACTACTAAGTCGAAACTTCGAAAAATCATAACTTCCTCATACGAAGTCAGATTTGGGCGTTCTTTTTATGCACACTCTTGGTTTAATGAACTCTAAGACTTTTTTTCAGATAACTAAGGCTAAATATTGCTCTAACGTAAATTTTACTTTTTACGTCATTCAGCGTTGCCGGTTCTGCCGCGAAATTTCGACAGGTCATAACTTATTCGTTATAACTCGGATTTCGGCGTTCTTTATATCTTCGGAATCCTTGTTTCGACCACTACATCTTTATGCAAAGATATTGGGATTATCTCATACTTTAATTTTGACACTTATTTTATTCTTAATTCATTAAATTATAATAATTATGAAAATAAACACATGATTCACATACATCACATAATACTCAAATATTTCATCATTAATACTTTAAAAGAGTTACATGGGTTAACCTAGACTATTACATCAAAGATAATGCCTAGCCTAGAAACACGGGCATTACAATTCTCTCCCCCTTAGGATGATTCCATCCCCGAAATCACACATCAACAAACAAATGCGAATAGCGACTCAACATGTCACTCTCCGTTTCCCAGGTGAGATTTGACCCATTCGTATGTTTCCAACGGACAAGAACTAATTCGACCATCTTGCGTCAAAGCTTCTTAGTCTTTCGATCAACAATTGCCTCTGGTTTTTCAATTAACCTCTTGTTTTCATCAATTCTCAATTCAGAAATTGGAATTATATCCGGAAGTTCTCTTGTGAACTTCCTCAAATAACACACATGAAAAGTGTTGTGAATTCCATTCAGTTCTTCGGGTAATTCGAGCTTGTAAGCTTGGTTCCCAACCCTCTGAAGAACTTTAAATGGTCCAATAAACCTTGGACTCAACTTTCCCCTTTTACCAAATCTTATAAGTCCCTTCCACGCGAGACTTTAAGCAAAACCGAATCTCCAACCTCAAAAGTCATCGGTCTTCGCTTCTTGTCAGCATAGCTCTTTTGACGATCCTGAGCTACTAACATTCTTTCCCTGATCACTTTCAACTTCTCAGCAGTTTGATGGACCATCTCGGGACCCATAAACTGCTTTTCCCCAGCCTCAAGGAAACAAGACGGCGTACGACACTTTTATCCGTACAAAGCTTGATAAGGTGCCATCTTTATGCTTAAGTGGAAACTATTATTGTAGGAAAATTCTACCAAAGGTAAATGTTCATCCCAATTACCTAGGAATTCCAAGGTACATGCTCTCAGTATATCTTCAAGTGTTTGTATTGTTCTTTCACTCTGACCATCAGTTTGCGGATGGTAAGTTGTACTTAAACATAACTTGGTACCCATTTCCTCTTGTAGACTTTTTCAAAATCTTGAGGTGAAACGGCTATCACGGTCCGATACAATCGTTAACGGAACACCGTGAAGCCTCACAATTTCCTTCACGTAAGAATTCGCAAGCTTTTCCATAGACCATTTCTCATTGGCTGCTATGAAATGCGCACTCTTAGTGAATCGATCAATGACCACTCAAATCATGTCGTGAAGACTTTTTGTTCTGGGTAGTTTAGTGAAAAAATCCATCGCAATGTCTTCCCATTTACCCATAGGCACAGGTAAAGGTTCTGAAATCCCGTATGGTTTCTGATGTTGTGTCTTGACTCTCGCACAAGTCACACACTCGGCTACATACTTTGTAACATCAAGCTTCATCGTTGGCCACCAGTAGTAGGGTTTCAGGTCCCTATACATTTTGGTGTTACCAGGATGAATCGAGTACATGGTCTTGTGAGCTTCTTCAATCAGAAGATCTCTAATTCCTCCTGACTTAGGTACCCAAATCCGATTTTGGAACACCTTTAGTCTGTGACTGTTTATACCGAACACCAACGTTTTTCCCAAACGTTCCTCCTTTCGATCATTTTTCTCAGAAGCTTCCTCTTGAGCTTTCTTTATACTTTCCACAATGGTCGAGACAACTTCTATTCTCAACGCTCTTGGCCTCTTCCTTTCAAGATTGACTTTACGACTGAGAGCATCAGCAACAACATTAGCTTTACCGGGATGGTAAAGTATCTCACAGTCGTAGTCCTTGAGTAACTCTAGCCAACGTCGTTGCCTCATATTCAATTCTTTCTGATTAAAGAGATATTGGAGACTCTTATGATCAGTGAAAAGTTTGCACTTTGTGCCATAGAGGCAATGCCTCCATATTTTCAGAGCGAAAACTACCGCTGCCAACTCCAAATCATGAGTCAGGTAATTCTTTTCATGCTCCTTCAGCTGTCGAGATGCATATGCTATCACCTTTTCTCTTTGGGTCAAAACACAACGCAATCCAACCCCAGACGCATCGCTATAGACAGCGAAGTCTTCAACTCCATTAGGTAGAGAAAGTATTGGTGGCTCGCATAGCTTCTTCTTTAGCTTCTTGAATGCTTCTTTATGCTTATCATTCCAAGCATAAGTAGCTCCTTTGTGGGTCAAAGCTGTTAATGGACTAGCGATCGAAGAAAAGCCTTGGATAAACCTTCGGTAATATCTGGCTAATCCTAAAAAGCTTCGAATCTATGTGGGACTTTTCGGTTGTTTCCACTTCATTACAGCTTCAATCTTTGCTGGATCAACCATTATCCCTTCTTGGTTGACCACGTGACTCAAGAATTGGACTTCACAAATCCAAAAATCACATTTGGAGAACTTTGCAAACAGCTTCTCCTTCTTCAAGACTTTTAACACTTCTCGCAAGTGTCTGCCATGCTCCTCTTGGCTTTTCGAGTAAATCAGAATGTCATCTATGAACACTATCACATATTTATCAAGGAATGGATTACAAACCCTGTTCATTAAATCCATGAATGTTGCGGGAGCATTGGTTAGTCCAAACGACATAACCAAGAACTCGTAGTGTCCATATCTAGTTCGGAATGCAGTCTTCTCAGTATCTTGTTCTCTTACCTTCAGCTGATGATACCTTGACCTTAGATCGATCTTCGAGAAATAGCTCGAATCTTGCAATTGATCAAACAGGTCATCAATCCTCGGCAAATGATATCTATTCTTTATTGTTGCGTTGTTCAACTCTCTGTAATCGACGCACATTCTCATACTTCCATCTTTCTTCTTCACGAATAACACCGGAGCTCCCTAGGGTGATGAACTAGGTCTAATGAAACCTTTGTCCAATAACTCATGAATTTGCATCATCAACTCCTTCATCTTCGTCGGTGCTAATAGATAAGGTACTTTTGCAATTGGCGTGGTCCCTAGTAACAAGTCTATTTTGAACTCCACTTGTCTATCACGTGGTAATCCAGGAAGATCTTCGGGAAATACTTCCGGATGATCACACACCACGGGAATATTCTACATCACCTTTTTTTCCTTCTTAGCATCGATCACGAATGCTAAGTATGATGTGCACCCCTTGGTCAAACACTTTCTGGCTTTCATTACAGAAATGATTCCAGAATTTACTCTGCGTTTATCTCCATATACCATAAACGATTCCTTCCCAGGTCGGTTTACTTTAACTATCTTCTTCTTGCATAATATCTCGGTGTCATTGGCGCTAAGCCAATCGATTCCCAGAACGACGTCGAAACCATTAAGTTCGATAGGCAATAATTCCTCGTGAAACGTATTTCCATTCAGGTCGATTAAGATGTTTTTCATACGATGGCTAACAGGTACGAACTTGCCACTACAAACTTCGACTAATAAAGCATTATCTAGTCTATCAACAAGCAAAGCTAGTTTTCTACCAAACTCATGCGAAATAAAGGAGTAGTTGGCTCCGGAATCAAACAAAATTTGAGCAGGTAGTTCGTTAACAAGAAAGGTACCTGAAGCGACATCAACTTCATCTTTCGCAGCCTCAAGTGTCATATGGAAGGCTCTCGTCTTCGGCTTCGGTGGAATGTTGGGCTTTGCTCACTAAAAGAAAAAGACCCTTTTACGGCGCACAAACCACGACGCTCATTGATCTATGTTACGCAAAAGAGAGCGACATTAAAAAAGTGTCATCTCTTCAAAAAATTTAAGTATTTAGGTCATGCATTGTTGCGTGCCCTCAATTTAGTGTTATAAGAAAAAAAAATTAAAAACACGGAGGGCACCGTATCTTACACACGTGTCGTCTGTGAGTGTCACTTTATAATTTTAATGAACGCACGTTCGTTTAGTAGATAGGGGGAAATGAAATCCCCAAAATTTTGAAAACCCGCCTTGTTCTTTTCTACCTTTTTTCTATCTTTCATCTTCACAATCGATTCTCTCCTCTCCCTCCTCTCCAATCCGCTTCTCCCCTACTCCTGACCTTACTTGTTAATCGTCTCATCGGATCTCTACTCTAATGTCTCTCTGAAGATCAAGAAATTTCAAGCCCTAGTCTCCCTCTGAGGCAGAGACGAAAAGAGAAAGAAACATGAACAATGCACCTATCGTTGTTACGACTTATGATGCTTCTCAAATCTTCTCAAAGCTTTTGATAAGAACATTGGCTGAGTTGCTTCTCAAAGCTTTTTATAAGCACCCCGTCGGCTTTGCATATCGGAAATCGACCCACATCCTCAAATTAGGGTTTTTTTCATCCCTCAAATTACGACCCACATCCTCCATAGATCGATCCTTATTGCTTCATTTCTCACAAGAAATTGAACACTTTACATTCACAGGGCAACAAAATCAACTATTTCTGGAACTTGGGTTTCGGTTCCAATTGAAATTGAAGGGTTTCTGGTCACCATGATCAAAGGGTTAGGGTCTTGTTTGTCAATGAATGCTCACAGGGCCACGGAAGCTAGGGTTTTTGGGCAAAGCTAGAATCGATCTTGTCTTGTTCCTTCAGAATCACGAAGACGCTGATTGCCATGGAGTGTAGACGTGGTTAACAGAAGACGAGGAAACATGAGAGAAATCTGGAAATTAGGTAAAAACGATAACTAGTCTTCATTCACGCCCCTCTCCAAGCTAATCGAGTTCCATTTTTTTCTTATCTGACTCGCTTTCCAGGTCATCAATAACCGTTAAAGCTTACTCGGCAGATCAGTCTTCTTCTCCAGGTTTCTACTTATTATTTTTAAAATCCTCTACGTATGTATCCATGTGTATGTTTAAACCTCAAAATCAAACTAAGCGAAGTAGAAAGAGGATGTGCTTTGCATTGATCTGAAGGAAACTTTCAGCGTCTAACCAGTATTCCATGGAATACTTTCAGGTGTTGAAATTTGGTGATTATAGGTTTAGGACCTGCTGGTTACACAGCAGCAATCTACGCAGGTCGTGCCAATTTGAAGCATGTAGTGAGGGATATCAAATAGGCGGTGCAATATGTGATGAAGCTACAGGGGCGACTGCCAAAAGGCTTAAATTACCTCGTGAAGATGAGTTCTGGAGTAGGGGAATTAGTGCCTGTGCAATCTGTGATGGAGCTTCACCAATTTTTAAGGGTGAAGTTCTTGCTGTTGTAGGAGGAGGTGATACAGGAACTGAGGAAGCAATATATTTGACTAAATATGCAAGACATGCACATTTACTTGTACACATAGATCAATTAAAGGCCTCACGAGCTATGCAGGACAGGTTAGAAAAAATATGTATTTCTCTTCTCTTTCTTTCCTAATTTTGGTCGTGATTTTATTCATGTTATAGTTTAAACATGCTATTTCTCATTTGTTGTCGTTCCATTTTGTCCTCCTTCCATGAAACTACTAATGGTTTCTTTTATTTATAAGTTTTGAATTGCCTGAAATATGTTTGTATAACAGGTTGATAATGGCGAATGTTTCAGAGTTTTTGATAATCCAAATATCACGGTGCATTTCAACACAGAGACAGTTGATGTTGACGCACTTGTTAAAGATGGACTTCTTGATAAGCTAAAAATTGGACCTCTGTAAGTCCCCTTTTTTATTATTTCTTTCCAAATCATGTATAAAAATGAATCATCAATAAAAATAGCCTTAGAAAGTTGGTTCAATCGGACTCTCTACACATCAAATCAGTGCTAACTTGTTTTCTTGAGAACAAGTAGTAAGAGGTTTTCGTGCTAATATTGCAAAACGAAAATCGGACTCTCTACACATCAAACCACGTATTGGTAAACATATAATTTTTTTTGCTTTGGCTCTTTTGGAGACTTTCTTTTCCAATAAATTGAAGAATACCATATTTTTTTTTCGTTATCTAGGATCCAAAGAAGAAATGTGACTTTTTTGAAAAGATTTGCCATTGAACTTCCATATCAATAGTATATAGATACGTTATTTGAGATGCACTAAAATTAAACTAACTTAACTAGAGAGAATATAACCAATTTGAAGTGATTTTAGACATCTTCTAATCAGCTATAGATGTAATTTTAATGTAATATTTTGGCATAGTTTGCATTCTACTTTCATTCTAAATACATAATACATGGAACTTCTATCCTTTGAGTATCTGAGCTTCAAGGAAAAAAAATTACATGTAATCATTTTTATCATGATGAACAAGTTATAGCATTCTAACTTGAATCAAAAGAAAAAAAGAAAACTTGAATCAAAAGAAAACAAAAATCACCATCGCTGCAATCAATCACCTTGCTCCACCTCTCACCAGTCACCACTGTGGGCCGCTACAATCAGGTATGTCCCTTAGTTCCTCCATTTATTTCTGATGCAAGTAAGCATTGAATAAAATATTAGTCAACAAAAAACCCAAAAATGGGAATAAATACTAAACAGGACTTGAGGGAATGGTCCCCTAAAACAGACCTAGGACAAAGTTAGTACTCCCAACATAAGAAGGCAGCTAATAACAACTATAATACCTAAAAAGACCATTCTACCCCTGGTATATATATATATATATGCTTTTAGTAGTTATATATATATATATATATATATATATATATATATATATATATATATATGTGTGTGTGTGTGTGTGTGTGTGAATGAATTTTAAGGAGTCACCTAATTCATTTTGTTATGGTTGCAGAGAAACAGTTAAAGGAGGAAGTATAGACCCTAAGGTTACCTTACTTTCTTAAATTGCTCTATTCTATTCCATTAGAGTTTCTTATCAAATACATGAATAGAAATGGGATTGTTGTTAACTTTAAAAATGATTTGTTTTAATGTTTAATCAAATCAGGGGGCATTGTTGGATTTTTTTGGTTTTCATGAGGAGGCTGATGATGTATTAAGCCGAGTGGAAGAACTTCAACTCCTTGAAAAACGATTAAACTGCTATAATGATCCAATCTCACAGTTTCAGGCTTTGATGTACCTCAAACCTGCAATCCACATCAGGTGCAATCCACTGTTCCCTTTAAAGTATATTACACTCCTTTTTTGTTTATAAATAAAATAAATAAAATTGTGCAGCAGATCTCCAAGTAAATTACACTCCTTTTTTTGTTTATAAATAAAATAAATAAAATTGTCAAATAAAGAAATTCTAAACTTGATTACCTTTTTATTTATTTATTAGATGTTCAAGGTGTAATTCATGCATTGTTCAAGATTTCTGATTTACTTCCATAGATGATGGAAGAACTATTTCTTCACTTGTATGCACAAAACTCAGCTCTTCCAACTATGGTTCAAATACTTGCAGGATTTGCTAATTCTTATGGTTATTCCTCTATCCAACTCTTTGACATCCTTATGAGTCTTCTTTCATGTGTTCAAAAATGAGTCCTGAAACTGAATATCTTTTGGTGCCATGATCATTTATTTGAAGCTTTGCAGTTTACCCCAAGACTTAAAGGTGTGCTTTCCCAAGCTCTTCCTATTTTAGGGAATGTTAAAGATCAACACCGACCAATTTTTGCAAATGGTATGCTTAAAGACCCTTTAACTCGTTGTTTCCATGATTCCTTTTCACTAATTCTATCATCTATTGGTTCTTTCATACACGTGCATCTCATTTATTTTTATTTCTGTTATTGTTTTTTCCAGCTTTCAGGTGTTGGTGTCAAGCTTGTTGGCAATACAGTGTGGAGTACCCTCTTTCATCAATTCTTGATAGTGATGTCACGTGAGAAATCATTTTTCTTTTTGTTAAACAAGTCTTTATTATATAAAAATGTTGAAATGTTACATTTGTCTACTATTGTAATGATTATTTGTATAACATTAACTTTTGTGCAATGCATTGTATTATTTGTATATGGTATTTTATTTTCCATTATGTGACATGAAATGCAAATTTAATATGAAAATACGTAAATCCATAAAAAAAAAACTTAAAATTTAAAATTACGATACGCAAAAATGTGCGTCATCTTCATTGATGACATGGCCTTTCTTGACAGGGGCTTTCTTGATACGCATTGCGTGTCATTAACATGCGCGTCGTAAGGTTACGACACGGGAATTGTAACGCCTGTGTTTCCAGGCTTTCCATTTTTAGCAATGTAATGGTCTAGGTTAACCTTTGTAACCCGTTTTGAAATAATAAGATTGTATTATTTGAGTATTATGTGTTTTGTGCTTAATTGCTTAATTATGTGGTTCGATTAATTAAGAATAAAAATGAGCGTCAAAATTTAAGTGTAAAATAAACTTGATATCTTTAGATAATGTTGTAGTAGTTGAAACAAGGTTTCCGAAGATATAAAGAATGCCGAAATCCAAGTTATAACGAGGAAGTTATGACCTGTCGAAGTTTCGCGATAGAACCGGCACGACACAGCGCGACGTAAAAAGTGAGTTTACGTTAGAGCGATATTTAGCCTTATCAATCTAAATGAAAGTCGTAGAGTACGTCAAACCATGAGCGTGCATAAAAAGAACGCCCAAATCTGACTCCGTATGAGGAAGTTATGATTTTTCGAAGTTTCGACTTAGCAGTATGCAGCCCGAATGCTCGATTTGAGACCGAGCGGTTTTTAGCCGAAACAATCTAAATGAGAATTGAAGATCTCATTAATTGTAGTAAAACGATAAAAAGATAGGCGAAAACGAACGTCGGATGAAGAAGTTATGATTTTATAATGGAGTTTTCCTGTCCCGGCCTACTAAAAATAAATAATAAAAAATAAATTCAAAATTAGCCAACGGAGTCTAAACGAAAGTTGTAGATCGTAGTCTCACCTACGCGTGGATATAAAGAGCGTCGAAAACGGAGTTCGTATGAGGAAGATATGAATTTTTGAAGTTTATTTAATAAATTCGGTATTTAATTTAAATAAAAAATTCGCTGATATTATCCATGGGGGGGAGTCACCGGCCTTATCCCCGTTACGCCCCGTGTACATAAATTACGCCCCGCGTAAATCGCAGATCCAGCCCCTATAAAAGGCTTGCGAGGGCAGCCGAAAGTTTTGTTCATTTCTTCTCTTCTCTCTCCCGTTTTGCATCGTTTTGCGTGCCAGAAATACCCGAAGCCCCGGTAATATTCCCGAGTCCCGAAGCGAGTCCCGAGATCCCGAAGATCCCGAGAAGTGCGGTTTCCGAGCCGAAGCTCTGCCCGCAAGAAGTTTGATTTTTGTGGAGATCTTCCAGATCTGCGGAGGATTACTACTTTTGCGAGTCGTAGTGTTGTCCGATCATCTTCTGATCAAGTGAGTGTATACTACCTTTCATAAACGCAATAATAATACAAGTATGGTTCGAGGGTATTAAGTTTATTGTCGTTTATACGTGTGAATGCGTTGTTACTTTCTCATAACGTATAACTATGAAGTATTTTATACGAGATACGTGTTATGTGTATATTTTGTTGTTATGTGTGTGAATGTATATTCACTTTCTGCTATCTTACAGATATGATTATTTCTATATGAAATACGTGTTATGTGCGTGTGCCTCATCTGTTATATGGAAAATGTTTTGATCAAGCATGCTATACAGGTTTTGAAAATATGTATAAAAATGTATGTTTTTATCTACTAATATGTTGGGTAGAACATGGGTAGATAGTTGGTGTGTAATAAACAGATGAGAGGCCTCGTTGTTGTTTGATCCAGTCATCTAGCGGAATTTAGATGACGACCACGAACTTTTCTAGATAGTCCAGTGGAACGCTAGCAGGCTCATAACCTGTAGGTGTTAATGAACTTGGGTGTTCATTCGCTGTATTCCATCCCCCTCATGGTTGCCTTATTTGACTTATATTGCTGAGGAAACCCCGCAGCATGTGTTGTCACCCCGATGAAAATATTCTTAGATTAGGTCCCTTATGTTAGTTATTTTAGGGACGTAAAGTGAGAATAACGGGAATGGGTAACTGGGTTATTGTTGGTTGATAATAATTAATTTAATTATTTATTGTGGGTTGAAAACCCTATATGCTCACCAGGCTCCCAAGCCTGACCCACTCAGTTTTATTTGTATTACAGGAAGTGGCGCAAGGGCGTAAGATGGATGAACCATCAAGTTGTTTTGTTTACAAGTCTGTATATGTAAATATTTGTTGAATGACTTGTAATGTTATCGTTTATGCTTGTTGGTCTATATCGGAACATGACACCCCGAGTTTTGATTATATAAGGAAAAATACATTTCTTTTATGAAATGCTTTGGTAAACATTGTTTTATCATGTTTTGTTTTTGGGAACAAATTCCGCAACTCTTTCAAATCAAAAGGATTTACTCTGAAAATATTTAAAAGCATAAATGAAAATCGGTCTTTTCTGGCCGAGATTTTGGGGATGTCACAGGAATGCATGTCGTCTTCCTTTATGATAGAGCCTTTCTTGATACACACTTGTAACAGGTTACATCCTCACTACATTTTCCAAAAAGCCTTTTCTTACACTTCTCACACCATTTTGCTTCGCCTCCTTTTCCTCGAAACTTTTTCGAATCAAACTTCGAAATTTTTCTTTTCTTGTTGGAACCTGAGGTTCCTTCAAATTTTCTCTTTTCGCCAACTTCAACCTTGTCGACGGTCCTTCCCTTGATCATGTCTTCAACAGACTTGGCAACTCAAATAGCTGCCTCTAGAGTAGGTGTCTGACGCACTGGCACTGCATACTCCCATGGAAGTCCTTTTGCGTATCGGTCAACTTTTGTCAACTCATCTGGCACGATGCGCAAAGAAAACTCCATCTTATTGGTGAAAGCGTTTGTATATTCCTCAACTGGCATGCTACCTTTCGTCAATGTCAAAAACTTGTTCTCTAACTCCAATAGATTTTGGGCCGAACAGAACTTGCACTTGAACTGCACCAAGAATTCTGCCCACGTCAGTTGCAGTGGCTCATTAGAGCTTAAAGTCTTCCCTAGAGTGTTCCACCAACGAACGGCTCCACCTCGGAACTGATGCACTGCATAGATATTTTGCAACTTGCCTCTGCAGCCACAAGTCATGAAGGCCAACTCCATTTCTGAGATCCAATCCATAACTCCAATCGAGCCCTCCTTTCCATTGAAGGTCGATGGTTTGCAAGTTAGAAAGTCCTTGTACTTGCATCCCATTCTATCATTCCTTCCATCATGGTTGTTTTGCCTAACTATCGGTGGGCTGGCTTGACCAATAGACCCATTGAAGTTTCCACCTTCCGAGTGCCCTTCATTTAATTCTGGCTCTTCCACTTGAATTGACAGTTCTTCACGATTCTGTTGAAGCAACCGCCAAGTCTCCTCCATTTGACGATCTAACATCGTTTGAATCATCAATTGTACCCCAGCCATTGTTATCGGCTCAGGTGCTGCTGCTACGATAGGTATTTGCTCAATCACTGGTGGTTGATTCCTGTTTTCATCAGTATTTCCAACTCCACTTCTTGTTCTCACCATTTTTGATCTACACACCGAATAAGGTGAAATTAGATCCTTATTCACGATAGATATTAAAATCATCCTTATTACTCCGAAACGTTTACATGCTAGTTCTAATATCGTAGACGTACGCTTAGAATCCTACACACATAAGGTTTCCAGATCCGGTCGGCAATACACCATAGATCCGAAAAAATAATATCATATATGGCAACATATAACATTTAGCACATAAAAGCATTTTAGGCAAATTTCCTAAAATAAACTAGTGCTCGTGTCTAAAATATCACAGACACATATCTCAAAATTTCACGTAGCATTTTAAGTTTAAGTCTAGAAATCCTACAAATTCCTAGTTCGCTTAAACTAATGCTCTGATACCAACTCTGACATCCCCAAAATCTCGGCCAGAAAAGACCGATTTTCATTTATGCTTTTAAAATAATTTCAGAGTAAATCCTTTTGATTTGAAAGAGTTGCGGAATTTGTTCCCAAAAACAAAACATGATAAAATAGATTTTAATCAAAACATTTCATGAAGAAATATAATTTCATTCCATAATCAAAAACCCGGGATGTCATGTTCTGATACAGACCATAAAGCATAAACGATAACATTACAAGTCATTCAGCAAATATATACATATACAGACTTGTAAACAAAACAACTTGATGATTATCCATCTTATCCCCTCGCGCCACTTCCTGTAATACAAAGAAACTGAGTGGGTCAGGCTTGGGAGCCTGGTGAGCATATAGGGTTTTCAACCCACAAATAATAATTAAATTAATTTTCATCAACCAACAATAACCCAATTACCCATTCTCGTTATTCTCACTTTATGTCCCTAAAATAACTAACACAAGGGACCTAGTCTAAGAATATTTCATCGAGGCGACAACACATGCATTCGGGGGTTTCCCGGCAATATATGTCAAACAAGGCAACCATGGGGGGATGGAGTACAGAGAATGAACACCCAAGTTCATTAACACCTACAGGTGGCGAGCCTGCTAGTGTTCCACAAGACTGTCTAGAAAGGTCCTTGGTCGTCATCTAAACTCCGCTATCAAAACAACATCGAGGCCTCTCATCTGTTTATTACACACCAACTATCTACCCATGTTCTACCCAACACATTAGTAGATAAAAATATACATTTTTATACATAGTTTAAAAACCTACATAGCATGCTTTAATCAATACATATTCCACATAACAGATGAGGCGCACACACATAACACGTATTTCATAGAGAATAAATCAGATCTATGAGATAGAAGAGAGTGAATATACATCCACACATATAACGGC